ATAGCTGCTGCCAGATGGAGTAGGTTATAATACAGCTCGTGCAAAATGAAGTCGGTTATAATATAAGCTCCTACAAGATGGAGTAGGTTATGATATAGCTCCTACAAGGTGGAGTAGGTTATGATATAGCTTCTGTAAAAAAAAGAAAAAAGGATCAACAGTTGATGTTTTAACTTGGAAGATGGAATAGTTATAATATATCTTCTCCAAAACCAAAAGAATAGTTGATAGTTGATTTTACTGTGCTATTGATAAGTTTATATTTAACGTCCTAGCCTCCTGTAAATTAGACCAATTCAAGTTAAGGTTACTTACTGCCAACCTATAGAATGGATAAATTTACAGTTGTTTGACAAAATGGGCCAGGTAGTTTTTCTTGTGGTTAGTAGTGTATACAACAACAACAACCTTTTGTATATATTATCTAATGAGCTTATTACTAGTTTCGGTTGCTAATCTGCGGATGTCGTTAGGGTTTTCTTAGGTTTCTGAGATAACTTCTACCGGTTTCTCTTATTGAACACTTAAGTTTCAGTAGTAATTTTTACTGTACTGAGTGAAATGATTGGCTAATTTGACAAATGTACTCGAAATTGTTGAAACTAAATTAACCTTTAAGAATTATGTTACGCTGTGGAATGTGAGATGATTGGCTAATTCGGCTAACTTACTTTAAATTGTTGAAACTAAATTAACCTTTAAGAATTATGTTACGCTGTGGAATGTGAGATGATTGGCTAATTCGGCTAACTTACTTTAAATTGTTGAAACTAAATTAACCTTTAAGAATTATGTTACGCTGTGGAATGTGAGATGATTGGCTAATTCGGCTAACTTACTTTAAATTGTTGAAACTAGATGAAAACTTAGGTATGATGTTGTGCTGTGTAGAGGGAGACTTTGGGTTTAATTTCGCTAACTGCTTAAACCACACGTTCAGCTGACATTGTCAGCTATTTCTGTATCAACCCAACAACTGTGGGTTCTCCCTTGCTGTGAGTCATTTCTACACTTAACATTTCAAACAGAACACTTTTACAAACGTTCCAAAACCCTGAGCTTGGCGCAGACAAAGCCACACTGTGAAGACAATTGTCTTCTGCTCCTGTACCATATGATTGAATCAACACCACAGTAGAAAACAACAACAAATGTCCGTTCTTGGACATGATGGCCATCCAAACAAAGTTGGTATATCATAGAATTTTGAAAAAAACTCCGATAATTGAGAAATATGTAGACTTCACTTCAAACCATTCTAACAGCGTAAAGACGAGCGTTGCAGATTGTCTAATCTCCAGAAAAGTCGGACTGCCTACTCTCCCGAAGAAACAGATATCCAATCTGTAGAACAAACAAAACTGTAATCTCCAGAAAAGACAGAATTTGCAAAACTAAAGAAGCTAAGAAAACCTAACGTAGAAACTACTTTACAATGGATATTTGGAACCAGTAATAAACACAAAATAAAATAAGAACACGCAGCCATAACTTATATATCAAAGGAAAACATATCATTGATTTGTAAAAGCCACCAGGAAGAGTTCTCACAATACGATCTCAAGTATTACATATCAAACAGAAGAATCCCGGAGCATCTTATACCATTTGCATCTAGTAATTAAAAAAAGGTAAATTAATTATTAATTAGGCTTAGGTTACTGACCTTCAAAACCATTGCCGATAGGTCACTATGATCTTCTCTGGCATGAACTATTTCCAATAGGTCACTACGATCTTCTCTGGCATGAACTATTGCCGATAGATCAGTACTACACAGTCTAGTATAGCTATTCTCTTCTTGAATTCGGACTCATGGAATAGTTCATGCCAGAGAAGATCGTAGTGACCTATCGGCAATAGTTCATGCCAGAGAAGGTCGTAGTGACCTATCGGCAATAGTTCATGCCAGAGAAGGTCTCACAGGGAAATTGGAATATCCAAAACAATAAAAGGTCACATATACAAAATGTAGAATAGAGAGACTTTCTAGAACATGTTAACTGAACACATATCCCCTCACGCATAGAAGTAAGTTAAATATGGAAAAAACCCCAGCAGCATTTAAATAGCTAGTCAAAAAACGATACCTATGTTGGGTGTGAACGGCACCCCTATTTTCTCAGGTAGAATATTAGCAACCGAAACGTCTCGATTAGTAATTATAAAAATATTAGTAACCGAAACGTAAAATTAGTAACTATAAAAAGATTAGCAACTGAAAATTAGGATTAGTAAGTATAAAATAATTATCATATAGGCTTATAAGCACGGTATCGAACGGACTTCAGATGCCAGAGTTTTGGGTGGTGAGAGGCAAAGCCCTTATAAAATGGATCAGTTTTAGTCCTCTGTAAAATGAATCAGATTTGGAGTTGATTCCCTAACCACGTAAAATTTGTTAATTTGTATGTGATTCCATAATCCCCTCAAAATGACTCAGTTTGTAACTGATTCTATGATATCCCCCTTCAAAATGACCCAGTTTTTAACTGATTCCATAACCCCCCTCAAAATGACCCAGTTTGTAACTGATTCTATGATAACTCTTCAAAATGATCCAGTTTGTAACTGATTCTATGATAACCCCCTTCAAAATGATCTAGTTTATAACTGATTCTATGATAACCCCCTCAAGATGATCCAATTTGTAAATGATTCTATGATAACCCTTCAAAATGATCCAGTTTATAACTGATTCTATGATAACCCCTCAAGATGATCCAGTTTGTAAATGATTCTATGATAACCCTTCAAAATGACCCAGTTTGTAACTGATTCTATGATAACCCCCTCAGAATGATCCAGTTTGAAATTGATTCTATGATGATCCCAATTCAAAATGATCCAGTTTGTAAATGATTCTATGATAACCCTTCAAAATGATCCAGTTTGTAATTGATTCTATGATAACCCCCTTCAAAATGATCCAGTTTGTAAATGATTCTATAATCACCCTTCAAAATGATCCAGTTTGTAACTGATTCTATGATAACCCCCTCAAGATGATCCAATTTGTAAATGATTCTATGATAACCCTTCAAAATGACCCAGTTTGTAACTGATTCTATGATAACCCCCTCAAGATGATCCAGTTCGTGTTGATTGTATGGACCACATTATGATTAAAATAATTATTTATCGATATATTCGGTTGGGGAACAAAAACTATAAGAACTTTGTTGTTACGAAGTGAATACATTATTAAAGCTGGCGTATCCTTTTTTTTCTGACCTACTTTTAGTAAAACAATTAACTTTACAGCACTGCTGAATGTTGAGTAAGTCCAATTATGGAAGCTGGACGTGGCCTAGTGGTTATCAATCCGAAGATTCTATGTTCGCGACCCATTGCAGCTAAAATGCTATCCGAACATGGTTACGCTATAATAGTGATGGTTAAGTTCGATCTGACAAGAGTAGTTCAAGAATTGGCGGTGGGTGCTGTTGGCTGTTGAAACTCTGAAACAAACAAACAAATTCAATCATGGAGACGGCATTCTTCGTTACTTGACTACAATATATATATATTTTTTTTATGTCTCCAGTGTTAATTTAACAAAATTTCGTTACCTTACTTTTTATATTTGCCAAATTGTTAATATATTTACATTAGTTGATTTATGTATTCTTGGTTGTGTTACAGTTAAATGACTCGTTCTATGCTTGATGATCTGGTGGAAGCGATAGTGTGAAACTGTTATTTTTTGAACTAATAAAATTCCCAAATGTTAATGATACATTATATCTACGTTTAAAAACTACAAGAACGTGTTCTCAAAAACCGTTGTTCTTGCAGCTTTACGTACATTTACATAAGCATATATTTGTATATAACGAAAGACAAAACAACAACAACAATTAAGTATATATAAACATATTCGTATATGTGTGTGTGTGTGCATTGTATACCCCAAGCTGTAACTGGAGTAATACGAGATTACGAAAACTTTAAGATAGGGGTAGCATGAGGTGGGTCAAAGGTCAGGAAGAAGTGTGTCTGAAATTCTAATTTATTATGAACTAAGACAAGTAACAAGTGAGCATGAATGCCTCTATATGTGTTTCGCGGGAAAACTGGGTCGAGTTTTTCCCATCTTGTGCCTTAAACAATCTTTCTTTCTTTTTTCAGCTGCATCCCTCACAAACCCCCAGGAAGAAATAAACTACAACGAAAGGTTTAATTGGATAGGAGGTAAGGAAGGGCAAGGGCACGTTCTCAGAGGAATTTAGACGTCATAAAAAAAATCCTTTATTACGACTTCTCGCCATTATATGAATTTCTTTGAAATTATTCAACAATTATGTTATTGTTATGATACAAAGACAAATAAAATTAGTTTATAGAATGCTTCATAATTATTTAGCATAGGAGAAGAGCACCAAATAAATCTCTCTCTACCCCCCACTCACCCCATTCTCCATCTATTCGTCTTTATGGTATTAGTGCTGAGAAAAAAGGTGACCTGCTTAAACAACGAGATGCGGCGATATGTAGTTGTGTAACCACGTGATATACCGGTTCTTACGTTTAACTGACCCCGAGAGGGCAAAGAAAGTGAATCAAATAAAGTGAAAAACAACAACAACATATATTTACACACACACTCACAACTCTGGATTATAAAACATGGTAATAGCTTGTACTTAGACAGTATTCTGGATTATAAAACATGGTAATAGCTTGTACTTAAACAGTATTCTGGATTATAAAACATGGTAATAGCTTGTACTTAGACAGTGCTCTAGATAATATAACATGGTAACAGCTTGTACTTAAACAGTATTCTAGATAATATAACATGGTAACAGCTTGTACTTAAACAGTATTCTAGATAATATAACATGGTAACAACTTGTACTTACAAATAGAGTTTTATCATTTTTTGATAAGAAAAACCAAACTTTTTTTTATGTTTCCTTATAAAATAAGTTAGATAATTGACTGCTCGTTTGAAGCCACGCCCTTCCCAACACTATATTTATATATTCTTACCACTTCTCTCCACAGAATCACACAAATTGTTGTAATTACCTATATTAACGAGTGACAGAAAATATCCAACATAAAGATAACCATTCTTTAACCCTGATTATACAAGATACCTATTATCCAGAGTACTGTCTAAGTACAAGCTATTACCATGTTATATTATCCAGAGTACTGTCTAAGTACAAGCTATTACCATGTTATATTATCTAGAGTACTGTTTAAGTACAAGCTATTACCATGTTATATTATCTAGAGTACTGTTTAAGTACAAGCTATTACCATGTTTTATAATTCAGAATACTGTTTAAGTACAAGCTATTACCATGTTATATTATCTAGAGTACTGTCTAAGTACAAGCTATTACCATGTTATATTATCTAGAGTACTGTTTAAGTACAAGCTATTACCATGTTATATTATCTAGAGTACTGTTTCTAAGTACAAGCTGTTACCATGTTATATTATCTAGAGTATTGTCTAAGTACAAGCTGTTACCATGTTATATTATCTAGAGTACTGTCTAAGTACAAGCTGTTACCATGTTTTATAATTTCGGGTAATGTCTAAGTAAAAGTTGTTACCATTTTTTATTATGTAAAGTACTGTCTAAGTACAAGCTATTACCATGTTTTATAATCCAGAGAACTGTCTAAGTACAAGCTATTACCATGTTATATTATCTAGAGTACTGTCTAAGTACAAGCTATTACCATGTTTTATAATCTAGAGTACTGTCTAAGTACAAGCTATTACCATGTTTTATAATCCAGAGTACTGTCTAAGTACAAGCTATTACCATGTTATATTATCTAGAGTACTGTCTAAGTACAAGCTATTACCATGTTTTATAATCTAGAGTACTGTCTAAGTACAAGCTATTACCATGTTTTATAATCTAGAGTACTGTCTAAGTACAAGCTATTATCATGTTATATTATCTAGAGTACTGTTTAAGTACAAGCTATTACCATGTTTTATAATTTCGGGTAATGTCTAAGTAAAAGTTGTTACCATGTTTTATTATGTAAAGTACTGTCTAAATACAAACATATGAGAATAAATAGATAAACATTCTTGAACAGTGAAAATCAGATAATTACACGTCTTCCACCTTTAAATGTCTTCCAGCTGATGTGCTGCAGGTCGAAGAATGAAAAATGAAGGTCTCGTTTCGATAACAACCACATTTAGCGTATCTAGCCCCGACGCCCTGTGGTAAAAGACATAATAAACGAGGGTGGGCCTCATATGTTTTCAATTACACACCTGCTTGTTTAAACATTATTATTATAAAGCACTTAACAAAGCCAGGAAGGGGGAACAATTTTGTGAGTGAATACGTTTGTGGTTTGGAAGCTGATGGAACGTTCATCCTGTCACGTGCCCTCGGTATCATTGTAAAGAAGTTCATTTTTGCCACAACAAAACTGTCCCAGCCCGTACCACAACGAAACTGCCCCAGCCCGTACGACAACGAAACTGTCCGAGCCCGTACCATAACGAAACTGTCCCAGCTCGTACCACAACGAAACTGTCCCAGCTCGTACCACAACGAAACTGTCCCAGCCCGTACCACAACGAAACTGTCCCATTCTTTATCTCTTTTTTTTAAAGGTTGTTACTTATCATTACGTTTTAAATTGAGATCTGTGTGCCTTATGGAGTTACCACTATCACTAGTCCCTCGGTGGGACAACGAGAAGTTTACGGACTTATAACGGTAAAATCTAGGGTTCGATTCCCTGCAATGGACATAGCAGATAGCTCAATGGGGCTTTCCTCCGAAATAATGTTATAATGTTAGTGCAATAGAAAGTTTAAACTCCTCGCTGAAGCCCCCCCCCCCGTGGCACAGCGGTATTCCTGGTGGGCAGAGCACAGATAGCCCATTGTGTAGCTTTGTGCTGAACTACAAACAAGCACACAACTCGTTGAATATTAAACCCTTCCGCTTCTTGTGTTGATGGACTAGTGTGCTGATGTGATTGCATCCACACCTGTTACTCTTTTAACACCTTGGACATTTTGCTACTTTGCATTTGTAGGTTAGCCTAGTATTGATAACACAGGCCTGCGAATTTAAACTTCACAAATATTGTTTTGGTTTTAATAGCGGATTTTCCATAATTCAGCTACGCAGATTTCGAAAATAATATTCTTTTTTTTTCTCTTTCACGTAAGGAGTTTTTACAAACCGGGAAGAAAAAAACTTACCTAGATCAACTTTAGAACAAATTTATCACAAGTATAACAGAATATGTTTGGGTTATTTACACAAACTCTTGCTGCCATAGCGACGAATAAATAATATTGAAAAGAAGAAAATAATGTCAAAGTACACGAACAAACAAATACTATCCAGAAATGACATGTCATGCGGCCTGTTAAACGTTTATATACAAGCGGTGTGTTTCTCGTGGGTTCTAGAACGATCGATAAGACTCTAGCGTCGCGATTGGTCTAGAGAAATCTATAGCCAGTGGTTATCAACATTTTAGGTACAACAAAACTGACCCGATTTCAATGAAAATGATTCACTTATGTAAAAGTACATATGAAGTTTTGTGAAAAATCTGTACGTGATGGAGAAAAATGGATATCATTTTTGGATTCAGCGTACAGGAATTACTGTAGAACATGTAAAAACTTCAAGACAATAAAACCATCGTGTTAAACCAACACGAACACGTAGTAATTACTGGACAATATGAACATGGAACGTGTTAAACGCTGAGTAATTAGTGGACAAGACTTTTTTTTCTAGAGTTTGGTTAAAGAGAGTATTAATTAAGTGTTATAGGCAAGCTGCATCTCTCGTGGCCGTTTTACACCAATGTATATAAAAAAACAGATGACATTACAATGTTAAAGTTAAGTAGGTCATCTGTCGAAATGGTCATAACACCATAAAAGCAAAACGACAAAAATGGATGTTAAATTCTCTAAGATGCTAAACAACACATAGTGATTTCAATGTGTTATATATATATATATACATATCGTAGCAATAATTGTATAGTATAAGTTGCCATGACAATAATTGTATAGTATAAGTTGCCATGGCAATAATTGTATACTATAAGTTTCCATGACAATAATTGTATAATATAAGTTTCAATGACAACAATTGTATAATATAAGTTGCCATGACAATAACTGTATACTATAAGTTGCCATGAAAACACTCATCATGTTGTTATGGTTACAGCAACAGAGATCAAAGAAGAGTACAGAGAAGCACTGATCAAAGGATTGCCTTTTCCAATATTAACAATTGCTGAGTATCTAAGTCAGGACTTGGAAGGGTTTTGTTGGGGGCGTCGTTACCGCATGGCCGGGTATTACTCCTACATTCTACTTTGGTAAGTTTCGCTAATCCAAATTAGAATAACCCCCCAAAAGTATTTATTATTCTAGGTCTTTCTTTCTTACTATCAAAATATGTAACCTGCCAATTTTCTTTCATTTCAGTGAAACTCAGTTCTGTTGTTTTAAACTAATGAACATTGAGCATTGACTGGACAAGATAAACATTGTACGTGTGAAACCAACACTTACACGTAGATATTACTGGACAAGACTAACATTGTACGTGTTATACCAACACAAACACGTAGTAATTACTGGACAAGTTGAACATTGTACGAGTTATACCAACACAAACACGTAGTAATTACTGGACAAGTTGAACATTGTACGTGTGAAACCAACACGAACACGTAGTAATTACTGGACAAGATGAATATTGTACGTGTTATACCAACACAAACACGTAGTAATTAGTGGACAAGTTGAACATTGTACGTGTGAAACCAACACGAACACGTAGTAATTACTGGACAAGATGAACATTGTACGTGTTATACCAACACAAACACGTAGTAATTACTGGACAAGTTGAACATTGTACGTGTGAAACCAACACGAACACGTAGTAATTACTGGACAAGACTTTTTTTCCCGAGTGTTGTTAAAGAGCGTATTCATTAAGAGATATAGATCGTGAACGTTTTGCACTAATACTTACCCACTGTTTAGATGTAAGGTACTTTGTACACTACACGCAATAATTACTACATTTAATTAGTTCACACACTTTCTACTGCACTAAATAACCATAAACGATAATAATTCTTGTACTGATTCTTACGCTGAGTAACTAACAACTAGTTATAGTAAATGTAGTATATTTTGTTGTAATACTTACAATGAGTAGTCACTAGGTGTTATAAATGTAGTATATTTTGTTCTAATACTTACAATGAGTAGTCAACTAGGTGTTATAAATGTAGTATATTGTATACTAAGTCTAACAATGAGTAGTCACTAGGTGTTTTAAATGTAGTATATTGTGTACTAATTCTAACAATGAGTAGTCACTAGGTATTATAAATGTAGTATATTTTGTTCTAATACTTACAATGAGTAGTCAACTAGGTGTTATAAATGTAGTATATTGTATACTAAGTCTAACAATGAGTAGTCACTAGGTGTTTTAAATGTAGTATATTTTGTTCTAATTCCTACACTCAGTAACCACCAGTTATGGCTTCTAGCTCCATCTTATTGCTGCTAATGGGAAACATGACTGCTGCACAAACCTTATGCAGACTGTTGTTGTTCCATGACACAATGAATGCTCAACAAGATATCTTGCTATCTGTGTCAATGATTACAGGTGACTCTTCACCATGGTCTTTAAATAGGAGCCAACAGTCTCTTCTGCTTCACATTCTGCCAGTCTATACATTTTACAGATTCCAATGGCGCCAGATGTTTATTCCATACGGCGTGCTTATATGACATCTGTCTACTCATGACTGTTTCCTTGGGTGTTTTTTTATGTAATCCATGCTTGGTTGGTGTCAGAAAATGGCAGTTATTAATGATAGGATGCACGATTTTTCAGGCAGCAAGGTCCTAGTGAAGATTTTTTTTGTAAGGGATGTTGGTGCTCTGTGGTGCTGCTGAGGTTTGTGAGGTGTAATAGAGCTTTGAGGGATTGGCTAAAGTACATCCTGTAACCAACCTTAACAATGCGCTTTGGATCTTTTCAACCTTTTCTAGTTACAAAACACTCACACTGATTATCCAGGATCTAGGATGGAATGGAGAAAACTTTGGTAAGAAAAACACAAGTGACGTTTTTCAGCTCTATTTTCTGCTGTAATTTTCAGTGCACTTATGCCTTTGATAGCTCTGGTTATCCTGATGTTAATGTGGCTGGTGAAGTTTAGTTGTCTATCAGAGGTTATCCCTAGGTACTTCAGTGTTTTTTACCCCCAAAGGATATTGATGGATAGTTTGTCATCATCAGCATGTCTGTTGTTGAGTTTACAAAACATGACTCTGGCTTTGACACGATTAACGACCAAGCTTGTGCTTCTCCAATTGATCCTCCTTCTATTAGATAGTTGCATCTTGTTTTCGATTTCAGCTTTACTAGAGCCTTTCATATGCACCAAAATGTTGTCAATAAAGGTTGTCACATAGCATCTGGTTGGACTGTCAATTTGTATTAGATTCATGTTGTAGATTCTGAAGAGAACTGGCGAAAGTGATGATTCTTGTGAGAGACCAGCATTGATGTTGATACAGTCTGATTGCCATGATGCATCTTCTGGTTGCTATGGAAACAAAGACTTAATTTATATAAGTTACATTGATATTTATTCTGATTTATTTTAGTACGACTAGGCAGCTGGACGTTACTGTGGGCATTTTCCAGATGTAAAGCTATTACCAATGTGTTCTTACCAGCTTTAAAGCATTCTCATGCAAGTTCAGCAACATTGATCCGCGTCTATCTTCCACCTAATGATGAGGGTAATAGTGGATCAATCTGATAGACAAACTTTTGCGCTACAGTCTACTCTGGTATATTTCCAATGTTGCTTTGTAAGACAATGATTTGATAGCCTTTAAGACCAGAGCAATCCTTCGTAAGTTTGGTTAAGGATTTAATAAAAGCATCAGTCTTTATTTCAGGGGTGCTACCCATTAATGATGTTCACTGATATTCCAACACTAATTTCAACAGGTTGGCTTCTTTAAGCTTCTTAAAGGCGGAGATTCGTAGATCATCTTGACCTGGAGTTCCAAATCTAGATCTATTTATGATTCTGTGCATCTCATACAAGCTAAAGATAGCTTCCATATCTGAATGTAGTTGCAGCTCGGATAGGAAGTACTGTAACTTGTGCCTATCTTGTATATCATCATGATGACATTGGTTTAATGTATCTGCCAATAAGGACTTGCCTTGGTTTTCATCTGTATCAAGTGGGATAATGTAATCATCGTAAGTGACTGACATCGCCATTTTTTATTCCTGTGCCATAGGTTTGTGGAAGTGTGAGAATGAACTGCCTGTAAGATTGGCGTATCTCATGTAGAGAGCACAGGATCCATAAGTGTGCAATGTTTGTCTCCTCTGAATGGCTTGGTTACCTCTTATCCGCACGAACTAAGTCTGGGCTAGTTTGTATACTTTCCATGTTTTATCAGTGTTATTGTTCAATCAGTCTGGGGTTTTCCTTTTCTAAAAGTTGTTGCCTTGACTTTTCTAGTGAGTGTAACGAATACTTTTAAAAATAGTCTGAGGTTTTCCTTTTGTAAAAGTTGTTGCCTTGACTCTGCTCTTGAGTGTAACGAATACTTCCAAAACACTTAACACCCTTGTGTACGTTTCTAGATTGTTTTGTTCTTCTATGTCTTCCAGTCTTCACACAAGTGGTGATCATGGAAAACCTTATATCAGATAAAGATGACATTGAGGGTGAGGTTCAAGGTATATAAGGAGTCACCTTGGTGCTCAGCTATTATTCATGGTTCACTTGAGTTAATCGGTATAAAGTTGACGGCTATGCTGTGGAGAACAGAATCTAAACCTTTGCCATCAGCGTTGTCATCCATCTCTTCGAGGATGGGGGGGGGGGGTTGTCTGACATTGAAGTCTCCTACCACTAGATAAATAGGCGTGTTGTCAGACAGGTTAGGCAGGAATCAACTATTTCTAGCATGATGTGATGTGTTTCCTTTCATCTACACATTTACACAGTGGTGATTCGGATATATGTGGTTAACTTGAGGTGAGCTATCAGATAGTTATTAGCTTGCAGTGGTGATTGTCCCACTGAGAACTGGTGAGCTATCAGATGGTTTGTAGCTTGCATTGGTGATTGTCCCACTGAGAACTGGTGAGCTATCAGATGGTTTGTAGCTTGCATTGGTGATTGTCCCACTGAGAACTGGTGAGCTATCAGATGGTTTGTAGCTTGCATTGGTGATTGTCCCACTGAGAACTGGTGAGCTGTCAGATGGTTTGTAGCTTGCAGTGGTGATTATCCCACTTAGAACTGTCATAACTGTTAATATAAGTTCAAATGAAAGTGAAGAAGTGTGTGTATAATAATATGACAACCACACCATATCTGCTGTATCCAGTGCCAACTGGTACTTTCGCCTACTACCAAAACTCTTCAGGCGTTTACTGTTCATAGCAGATGTTGCTGTCGTGTCGAAATGGGCCCGGCACCTAGTGTGTAATTAAATCTAAATCTAGCAATATGGTAAATCAACATTTATTAATAGAACTAAAACAAATACTTCACAAATCACAATAGCTTATAGACTTACATAAAATATTTAGATTTTCCCCTTTCCTTTCCTCACTCATCTTGTTATTAATATATATATTACATGTGTGTGTGTGTGGGGGGGGGGTCGATTTGCCGCGGTGGACACAATACAATACAGATAGCCCACTGTGTAAACTTTGCAATTAACAAAACTAACAGCTTCCTTTTAATTCTTATCATATTTCTTTCCCTTTCTTTTCTTTATATTTTTAGGTATTTGATAAGTATTTCAATTATTTCGTCACCATGAAACACTACCCTTGTTCAGTCTAGAACCGGCATAAGCCTAGTTTGAATTTAAAATAGGCTTACGAACATTAATTTTCGTTACCATTTTGGGAAATTAAATATACACACTTTCATAAGAGCTTGGAGACTGCTATGAAAGAGTGTATTAAATTTTTTTCCCTTCCTACTTTTCCCCCTTTTTTAATGTAAAGACGAAGATATTATATTTTCAACATAAAGAAATGAATATTAAGGACTGCTTACTACTCATTACCCGACATTAAAGATAAAGAAGTAACTATGGTAACAGAGCAAAGAAAGTTCTAAGCCGACTTACTCCTCATTATCCGACATTAAAGGTGTAACTAAAGTAATCGAACAAGAAAGCTCTAAGCCTACTTACTCCTCATTATCCGACATTAAAGGATAAAGGTGTAACTACAGTAATCGAACAAGAAGTTCTAAGCCTACTTACAACTCATTACCCTACATTA